GTGTGTGTGTGTGTGTGTGTGTGTGTGTGTGTGTCTGTGTGTCTGTGTGTGTGTGCGCTGCAGCTCGGATCACTCAGCTCGTTCGGGGGTTTTCCAGCTCGTGGAAACAGTCGGTGGAGTCGATGAGTCAAGACGTCATGAGGTCGTTCACCAACTTCAAAAACGGAACCAGCATCATACAGGTGAGATGCACCTGAGACCACAGACAGGAAATGAAGATGGACACATGGGTCCTTTAAAGTGAAGCCGAATCATCCTGATTGTTTTATGATTGATGTAAAGATCTTTTCACCGCAGGGCGCTCTGACGCAGCTGATCCAGTACTACCACGGCTTCCACAAGATCCTGAACCAGCCGACGTTCCGCAGCCTGGCCGTGCGCTCGGAGCTCATCAACCTGCATCACCTCATGGTCGAGGTCAAGAAGCACAAACCAAACTTCTGACGACCGGTAAAACATCTGGATTCCCCCTGGTTCTCTCCTCTTTCCGCTAAAGACCACGAGGCTCCTTTCTCACTTACATCACTGTTGCCATGGTTACGCCTGGTGGAGTGTTTCCTCTCAAAGTTAAATCTACTGACGAGAAGTAAAGCCACAAAAACAGACTTTTATTCTGAAACACTGAACAGACACTTCATATTTATTGTTTAAGAATGTGACTTCCTGTGTTCGTCTCCTCTCTCCAGTGAAGTTTGTACATCTGTGACAGGTGTTTGATCACATGACCTTTTCTTGACCATTAAAGAACGAAGCTGAAGATTTTCCACGTTTTCTTCTGTTGACCTCCATCATTGAGGAATCAGCTGATTATTTTATTATTTGTCAGAGAAGATGTTTAGATGTTAAAGACTTTGTAAACAGAGTGAAGGTTTAAACTATGTTAATTAATTATTTACATTTAAACAAGACAATAACAATTCACACTTGAATAAACAGGTTCCTGTTTCTTAGACTTTCATTCATCAAACATTTATTCACGTTAAACCCGTCGACTCAGTGTCAGTCTTAAAACGACTGATTTGAAAAAACGCTCAAGTTAAATTTACAGAATAAACACAAGACGACAAACGACCTCACGCGTCGCCGCCTCAGAACAGACGAGGGATCTGGAAACTGGTGACGAGACCGAAACACAGAAGAAGAAGTGAACAGCTGCTTTTGATGGCGTCACCTGGAAGAACAGCAGATATTTGTTTCGTGACAAACTCTTCACGTGATCTTTTCAAACCACAAATAAATGTTGCTGAGGTTTGATATTTTACAGTTTATTCATAAACCCTCGTATAAGTAACTGTAAGTTAAGGAAACACAAATACAACTAAAGACATGAATACAATGAGCTCTGGTCCTCGGGCCGTCACAAGTCTTTTTTAATTTCTCACCTGATATTTCACTTTTCATTTCGTCGTGGACTCGGACTCTGGTGCAGGCTCCTGTGGAACAGACGAGTGACGTCGGTTACACGATGAAAACACTCGAACCACGCGACACAAACAAGACGAATCAACAAAGGTTTGACTTTTCAAATCCTCTGATTCTTTCTCCAGGTGTCGGAGCAGCAAGAAAAGGTTTGATCTCAGGAGAAGCTGCAGACGAGTGTCACATGTTACTGATGAACTTTCTATCATGATTCACTTTTATAGATTCAGACACAGATTCAGTCTTTTGTTGTTTGTGTGAAAAAGTTTCTTCTAGTTTCCAGAACTCAGAAACATGAAAATAAAAAAGCTTGTGAAGCTGGAACCTGAGGGTTTTTGTTCGTTGGCTCAATAATGAAAATATTTGCTGAGTGATGCATGAGAGAAGTGATGACGTCAGGCGCCGCTCACCCTGCACGGCGAGCTGCACGGTGCTGATGGAGAGGCCGTGCCCGTCCAGGACTTTGTACGTTCCCTCGTCTGAGCGCCGCAGGTTCTTCACCGTCAGCTGCTCCTTCAGCGGATCTTTCTCCAGACGCAGACTGTTCTCGTCGCCCTTCATCCACAGCTCCGACCACTCCGAGCTGTTCCTGAGGAGCAAAGATCAGACCGTCAGTCACTGTTTAAAGTCTGCAGAGCGCCCCCTGGAGGCTGCACCAAGAGAGAAGAGGCAGGTTCACATGACATGGACAGAATGAAAGTATATTAAACACATATTTATATATATAAATGTTATATCCCAGAATTTCTGCATCAAAGTTTTCTGGATTTTAACAATTTTTCTTTTTCCTCTTTAATAAAAACAGAAGCCGACCTGCCCTGGAAGACGACTCTCGCTGAGTGACTGCTCTGAAGATCCAGAACCAGGTCCTCGCCTGGACACCGAACCTGATGGGATTTATGGTCTGAAAACACAGATGTCGTAGCTCGGTCAGTGACTGAGAATAAACCCACAACACATTTAACACACAACAGATTTAACACACTACAGATTTAACACACTACAGATTTAACACACTACAGATTTAACACACAACAGATTTAACACACTACAGATTTAACACACTACAGATTTAACACACAACACATTTAACACACAACACATTTAACACACAACAGCAGCTACATGTTCATTATCCTGGCGTAGGTTCGGTGTTTTATTTTTCATAAAGAAATTTAGTTTTATTCTTATTTGTGATTGAAAGATTAAGTGTCATGTTGTTAAAACAAGATTTTAAATGAAAATGAGTCAAATGACATAAAACAAATACAGAAAACAAACTAAACCACAGAAAAAAAAGAAAAAGTTCATCACACAGTCTCCTCGTGAAACCACATTTAAATTTACCAGATTTTCTTTGGATCGAATCACACGCACTCATTTTTATCATTTTATTTCCAAATGTCATAAAAAGAGATTTTTTTAAAATCACTGGATCTGCACCAGAATTGAATCAGTTGTTTGTCATGTGATGTCCGACGCCTCCACAAAGTTTCCTGGGAATCGGTTCAGCCGTTTCTGAGTGATCCTGTTCACAATGGGCCGAAGAGAAGTTCCGAACTCACCGAACACAAACAGTTTCACGCCCTGAATGAAGACCCGGGTTTTCTTCGACCTTTCTCCGTCCACCACCATGAAGCTCTCGTATCGTCCAGTGTCTCCGAGCTGAACGTCGCTGATGACCAGCGAACAATCCCCCGACACGAGCTTCTCCTCGGGAACCTCCACCCGTCCCCCGTACCCCTCCGCCTGCCACCTCTGCGCCCCCAGCTGCTCGAACACAGCGGCAGAGGCGGTGGTCTGCCACTGGACGTGGCAGGAGGCCAGAGCCCCGAGGCGGGGCCTCCAGCTGCAGGGGAGGACGGCCTGCTCCCCCACCGTGTAGGTGACGGACAGGAAGTTGGTGGACAAGGAAGAGGAGTCTGAAAGAAGAGAGGCACGGAAACATTCACTCAACCACCAAGAACAAAGACCCCTGGTGGTGTTTAGGTGCAGTTACACTGCAGCTCACTGTCAATCACAGACTCACCGACCAAACTGACGACCAGGAAACCGAGAAGTTTCACCAACAACCTGAAACAACAACGAGAAGGTTCAATCACAGGAAACGTGCAACTTCATCAGAGTAAAAAAACCGAATCAGAACAATTTAAAATTCTCTTATTTAATTAGAACTCTTCTATACTTTTCTTTATTTTCCCAAATTATCAAACACTCGAAGCTGAACGAGCTAAAAAAAATGAATTAGTCGCAGTTACAACGTGACATCGGACGATCTGAT